GAAATATGACCGAGACATGCCAGTTACTGGGCAGTGGAGGACGTCCCGTGGGTGGGTCAGAAAGAGCCCTGTGCTGAGTGGTTTTAGCAGCAGCATCGCACAACCTCTCACCTAGCTCTCACTTCACATTGTTATGTCTCCTTCAGGAAAGAAAAGCTGGTGGAAATGTTCTCAGAAGGGAAATGAGACATTGAATGTCTGAGGATTTCCATAACATGATGTGTGTGTGTGTGTGTGTGTGTGTGTGTTCTGTTTTCTTTGGCTCTGAGATGGATTGACTAGGGAACTACTTCTTACCATGTACCATGTCATGGAATTAGTCATTGGGTAGAGAGTCCCAGAGAAAACTCCCCAATGGCAACCCCTAGCAGCTAGGAGGCCCTTTTCTTTAAAAGGGAGGGCAGCAGCACAGCCACTCAGTTACAGAAAGACAGAGTGTGGGGTGGAGAAATCACTTCACTGCTTAAACAGGAGCTGACTGACCACTGTCCACCCCACATGTCCAGGTACAAACCAGGCTATAAAGGGATGCACAGAAAGCCACCCACAGACTGGAATTGGGGTCTTCATCTGCCAAAGGTTCTCTCCAAGATGCTTATAGCATGTATCTGGTCAACAGACTAAAAAGAAACTTAAAGCTTAAAGGAAGGTCTGCAAGGGCAGCTTTAAACCAAACAAGACAAAAATGCTATTCTCCTAGTTAGTTTGGCATTTCTTTTCTGGGGAAAGAGCATTAACCCCAGTTTACTAACTATAGTCCAGGGCAAGTTTTACCAGGGACTGTCACAGTGGGGGCAAATGAAAAGATCTCACATCTTTGCATTCACCTCTCCAGGGGTCTCATCAGCCCCATCAGCCACCTGGGGGGTTGGCAGGGCTGGAGTCTTTACCCCCAGCCCCATGGTTTGACATATGAGGAAACTGAGGCACAAGAAGGTAACGTGACTAGCCCAAGGTTGCAGGGGGATTAGGGTTATTATCTGATCTAGTGCCTCATCTCAGTCCCTCTGACTAAAGGGACAGTCTCATGGCTGGTTTATCACAGGACAAACAAGGAGAACCCGTAGGTCTCACTGGCCCCAGGCAGGTGGCCTGGCTGAAGCCAAGGCAGTGTCAGATTATAAAGAGGGGAGGGTCAGTGAGGATTGGGGACTCACTCGAGTCATGCCAAGCCTTCCATGCATTGGGATCAGCCCCTAATGGACAAGGACCAATAAGGAGTTTTCATTGCTGAGTTCATTCCTGAGTGTAAAACACAAACCAACCAAAAAAACAAAACAAAAAAAAAACCATACAAGAATTCCTTCTTTTTGGCTGCTCCCCTGAGATGGGCAAAATGTCCCCATGGAGTTCCCCACTTACTCACGAGGTGTGCAGGGAGTGCAGGAGTGAGGGGACCTCAGGAATGTACTTCAGGGTGGCCAGAGTGGGGGGTTGGGCAGCAGACACTGAGGGAACTGTTTTCTGGATGGCAGGCCAGCGGCCACGTCCCACCCATTCTGCTTTGCCTGGTCCTGCTCCCTGTCAGTCTGTCCCATGCCACCCCAGGCACTGAAGGTGTGACTTCCCAAGTCCAGAGCAGCACAAATGCCACCCCGCCCCCACGAACATGGCCTGTGCAGCCTCTCCTGGCCCCACGAGCCATACTTCAGCATCCTTTTAATTGCCTTCTTTGCGCTTGCTGCTATCATTTTATCAACCAGCTCTCTCCAGGAGAACAGGGTCGTTGGCTATTTCTTCACTACTGTATTTTCAGTGCTAAGAATAGCGGTGAGCACTCAGCAGGGAGTCCACAATTACTTGCTGAATGAATGAATCAGTAAGTGAAGACCTGACTACAGATAAGCTGCTTCACTTTTCCAACTTACAGCTGCCCCCAAGCCAGAGACCTCACTCTGTAGCAGAACAATGGGATTTGTTGCCACAGATCCTAAGGGCCTCTCATGAGAACAGCAGCCACTGCCCATTTTGATTCTCAGTGTGGATGAACTGTGATAGGTTTGAGAGTGCCAGGGCTGTGTGTCGGTCCTGGGTCTGTCTGGCCTAGAAGGTGGGCTGCTGCTTCCTCGTAGGTCGCCCTTAGTATCATCGACCCCCTGTAGCCCTCTCTGCCCCTGGGTATCTAGCTGAGACCCCTTTCCCACCAGCTCCAACTTTGTAAGCCCTCCCCCATTTGTTGTGCTGGTGAGGGGCTAGTCATGCTTAAAATAGTCAGAGCCCAAATAGGGCTTGTGATCATGACGCTGGTCCTGCAGTGGGACCCCCCAGCAACAGCCCTGAACTTTATCTTAGAAGTTGGGAGAGACTGGGCTCTGTTGGCACAATTGCTTTTTCTTGGGTCAACAGCATCTGAAGTCACGTGAGACTGCTAGCACTCATCCAAAGGGGGGTATTTATCCCACCGGCCTCCTATTGATTCTCCAAGGTCATTACGGCCACGACCTTATGTTTTCATCGGAGAGGAGAAAGTTAGTGAGGAGGCTGAGCATGAAAGGAGGGATTGCTGGTAGACCATGGGTAACATGGAGTGTGGGTAGGTTGCTTTGGAGTTTCTTCTTCAGTTTCTTTTTAAAAAAACTTCTCCTTTAAGTTCATTTGGAAAGTTCAACTTTTCTCAACAGAGGAGAAAAGGCAGACTGTGTGAGGTGGGAGTGGAGGGTAGGGGGAGCAGTGTGCTAGAAGAGCAGTGTCTCCCTGGGGGTCAGAAAGGGTCATCCCTGTAGATTTCCAAGTGATAGACCACAAGAAGTGAGAGTTAGGACTCAGAACCAAGCTGTAACCTCTCTCTGTGAACTCGAAACCTCTCTCTGTGTAGGCATCTGTCGCTATGCAAATCTTGGTGACTGTGGCCTGTTCAAACATGGGCACTGCCCTTGGCCTTCCAGAAGGAGGCCGATCCAGCTACCGTCTATCCTGCTGCTCTCCCTCCCCACCCATCAATCTATACAATTGTCTCAGAAATCCAGATCAAGAGGGCTCAGCTGCTCCTTCTCCTTCAGCCTCAAACTGTTGTCTACAGAGAGAAAAAAGAACTCCAAAGAAACCTTCCCAGACTAATTCCAAAGCTAGTTATTTCTGGGTCACATTGTGCTTTTAAGTCCTTGTTGCATGGCTGTTTCATGACTGGGTTGCATATCTATGGTTGTCCACTAGGCTTCTGGCACCCAGCATAGGGCCTGGTATAGAGTAGGTGCTCAATACAGCTCAATGCTGGTTGGATGAATGAGTGGAGGATGAAACACATGGATGATCTCAAAAATAAATGAAAATTCCTTCTTCCTGGATAAATTTGCTAAGTATCCTCCACAGGTTATACACATCAAAAGCTCTGTTTCCCAGTTTCCTCTGCACTTGAAATGACAATAGAAAAGGAAACTGCAGGAACTCTTACTCCTGATCCCTTACTTCCACACAAGGCTTCCCTGACCAGCCCTCAGCAAAGTGTGTGTGGGGGGAATACTTTGGCTTGAGTACCTATTTCTGCAAACTATTAAATTTTTGAAAAATAATGGCAGCAATTTGGAAAATGTAGAGTGCAGTGGATATATACAGTATATCACCTATCTATCTATCTATCTATCTATCTATCTATCTATCTATCTATCTATCTATCTTGTATTTATTTATCGTACATTGTTCTCTAAAGTTGTCTAAAATCATCCGTCAAGGGCCCAGTGTTTCTCCATGGTTTTATGTTCCTGAAAGCACATTTAAGGAAAGGCCTGGTGACCCAATAGCCAGAGGAAATGCCTCAAGTAACCCGCCTGTGGGTGGACCTGGCTCAGAGGTGGCAACCACTGGGAGCCAAGGACTGAGGGCTGGCACCCACATTGGCTGACCTTGGGCAAGTCACTTCCCTTTGCCATAGGCCAGTTTCCCCAACGAGGTGAGGGGTTTCGCCCTGCTTCCCTCCCTATCTAGCCTCCTAGGACTGTCCGCTAGGACATCAGCTTTGCCACCTCTCAGGTCCAGACTGCTGCCACAATGGTGGCAGCGGTGGTCCCAAAGCCGGAAACAAGGAGAAGTGAGGGAGCAGAAAGGGAAGAATGGCAGGGGCCTCTGCAAGGCAGAAATCCAAATTGTGGTTTTCTTAAAGATGAGCAATCTTACTTCAAGGACAATTGTCACTTTTTTAAAGTCCCCTTGATGGTCTCTTGGAAGCCTGGAGCTTCCTGAAATCACTCCACTTGTGATAAGAATTCTCTAGGGCTTCACAAGAAGAGCAGGAGGCAGCAGGCAGGAGGGGAGACACCTGCATGCTCCTCTGCTCAGACTAAGCAAAGAGGGTTCCTCCCACCAAGAGGCTTTCTTGGGCTTCCAGGGCCTCAGAAAACTGCCCACTTGGAAGAGTATTTAGTGCAAGCTGGGAGGAGTAGCAATGTTGACAAGGAATTCAAGAGCCCCAGTTGACCCCTAGCCTTGACCCTTAGCCTGGACCGTGGTGGGAATGTGGCATCGAGGTCTGAGGTGACTCAGGCCTCCCCAGCTCACCCCACCCAGGACAGACCACCACGAGAGCCTCGCTGACTGCTGAGCCAGAGGCCAATATTAAGCTCTGTGTTTAGTTCCTTTTTGTCCTGAAGCCTCGGGAGGCCCCACTTTGTAGTTTGGGTCCACATTTTTCAAAGAGAGCCGTTTTCCTTGAAATAGCATTTCTTCTTCTTTTTTTTTTTTATTGTCTCTTGGTGCTAGAAGAAAAATGGCATATAACAGATATCCAGATACAAATAAACATTTCCACAAACATCTTGCAAAACAACATCACAATGAGGAATACAACCGTGTATGTTCCAAGAAATGGTGTCTTTCTCCGAGCACTTAAACAGCTTCCCAAAGCCAGCAACAAACCTAGACCCTGCCCAACTACATGGGCGTGGGGCGGCAGGCGCCATCTCTTCTTGGCAAATCAAAGGTCACCATGGTTAATAACATATGGACACATATTTCAAAGCATGTGTAACAACATGGTTTTTTTTTTCTTTTCTTTTCCTTTTTTTTTGGCATTTGAACAACAGAAATAAAACCCCAAAGCAAATTAAATTTGAAATGTTAATGTAAAACCATGGTCCTTTTGGACCTCCCTAGAGTGACTGTGTGTGCCAAATGCCCTTTGCACATAGTTTGGGGATGAAGGTGACCAGGGAGCAGTTGTCTCTGAAATTTACAGCATTGAGAGCACCCAAGCTGGTTGCCTTTCGACCCTTTGAAGAGCATTTAGATGGAAGCTGGTTAAAAGCTCACTCTTGGAATTTAGAAAGGGCTTAGATAATCTTCTTAACTTTGAGTTTTTTTGGAAAAAAATAAAATCTTATTTTTAGTATGTTCTTTTCAAGTCTCGTGGTACCTCCAAACCGGGCACAACAGGGGAATTCCCTGTAAGTCAAAGCAACCACATACTTGGGCGCAAGCCAAGCTCTGGGTCAGGGAGTGGAGGAACGCTGTAGCATCTGGCTATCTACTCATTTGGTAGGAAGAATCTACAGTGGCTGGTGGGAGTGAGAAAATGTGTAAAAATGGCAGTGCAGGGGGGAAAGGGAAAGAAAGCAGGCATTTTCTGTTCCCGCTGATCTACTGAGCTGACATGCTGGGGCCAAGAAATTGTGAGAGGACTCTGATCATGTGTTCATGACACAGCCACATTTTTGACAAGCCATGTGTGTAGTCCCATCTCATAGAGATGCACCAAACTACCTGAGGACATTTGGGTTCTGAAACACGGTCACTCTAGTCTCATCAGCAAAGAAAACATGAATGCAACTTTGCAATGAAAACAAAAAGTCACCACAATAGCCGTTGAGCTTGAATGACAAAAATGAAGAACGGAGATCTACACAGCTACTTAGCTCTTGACTTCAGGTTTTAAAAATTCAGAGTTAACAAAGGAAAATCCTTCGAATTCTGATTGGTCAATATTCCTGATGACTTCCTGGTCAGGAGGTGTTAGGACTGGTGGATGGCGGGTGAAAAATCGGTCGAAGTTTTCAGCATTTCGCCCACACTATGAGAGGGGAAGAAAAGAACTTGTGGTGGGTGGAAAACAAAATAAAACAAAACCAGAACCAAAACAAAACAGAACAGAACCAAACAAAACTGGGTGTGGTTTCCTCCAATCCCTTCCTTGCCACTACCTCTGCGAGGCTGTTTCAATGATCAGAAATGAGAGCAACATAAAATGCAAAATTCTCATGACCTTTGGCACATGACCTTGGGTTCCCGACTTCCGGTTCCTGTAGCTTGTGAGCTGCCCCTGGCGACCTCTGGGCAGTCGGGAGCTACATGGCAAAGGCATGAGATGGTGGGGCTGGTGGCATGTGCATGTTCCCTCACCCCGCCCCACCCCGCGGAGACCACCAGGCTCCTCTGTCGGAAGAGGTGGGGTTCCAGAACCTGAGTGTTTCCATGTCAAGGTGCAAAGTAATGGCTGGTTGATACATCACCTGGATGGGGAGACCACAATCTAGCAGGCGATCCCTCCAAGTCTGTCCTCTGGCTCTCCATCAGGAACCACTGATGTTCTCCAGCTCAGTGGAATACAGAAATGCACAAACCCATCAACGGAGAGCGATCCCAAGACCCGAGTTTGGTGTCTGCGATACCTGGGCAGCCGGAGCCCAGAACCACAGCCAGAGAGTCACAGACCCTTAAATTACAAGGTGCCAGGAAATCTCTCTCCAGATGGGAAAGAGGGGCGCGTGATGAAACATGAAACCAGTGCTGGGTGAGGCCATCAGGCCGGAGAGAGAAAAGCATCACCATCCCTCACTCATCCTGTGGTGTTTCTAAAGAAAAGGCCCTGGCCGGAGGCAGAGTTTATAACACGTGTGTGCATATGTACACGTGTCCTCCTGTGCGTGAGTGCACACACATGCACGCGACTCGTTCCCACCTAATAAGGGACACATCACTAAATCTGGCCTTCATGGTTCTTTGTTCTTCACCAGCAAAACCCACTTGCCCCAAAGCTCCCAGTGCCTCCAACACTGTCTACAGGAGGTAACTACAACCTAATAATATAGTAGCAGTGGAAGTAGTAAAAATAACAATTACGACAGTGAACATTCATTATGCGCTTGCTATATGCCAGGCACCCTGGAATGTCTTTTACTGGCTTTATCTTATTTAATCCTCCCAATGACCCCATCCAGTGGGTTTTATTATCATCCCTAGGGAGAGATGAGGCAACCAAGGCCAGGGAGACTATGCAATTCGCTCAAGGTCACAGAGCTAATGACAGCAGAACTGCAGCGGAAGCCAGGTCTTGACATCAGAGCTCAAGCTCCTGGCTCCATTTTCAAGAACTGTGGGCGAGCTGGTGAGTGATTGAATAACAGAGTGGGGCAGGGGTGAGGAGGGAGGAGAAGGCAAGGTTGGCGATGATGAGGTCTCTGGTTTGAGTGGCAGAGAGTGTGGTTATATGTATGTCAATCACTGAGACAAAGCCGGAGAAATCACAAAGATGACTCTTTCCATTTTGGACAAGAAGAAGTTGAAAAAGAAATTTAAAGGCCAGTGTATGGAGGGTGGAGAAAGGCAAGAATGATAGCAATGAAAATACTGAACGCTCTGGAGGCAGCTGGTGTTTGCTAATTGTTGCACATCCAGTATCCTCTTCATGCCCATAACAAGCTTGGGAGATAGATACTTGATTCCCATTTGCCAGGGAGAAAACAGCCCCTAAACTGTCTAGAGGGGCTGGGGACAAGGAGACAGCAGCAACCGCAGGCTGGGGGTTGAAGGAACCCAAGGGGGAGGGCATTGCTAGAGCTGAGCTGGCTGCAAGAGGTGAAGCAGGAAAGTCGCTGAAAATGGGCCATTGCACTTGGCAATTAGGAGGAGACTAATGAGAAAATGTAAGACAGTCGTTGAGCTTGAGTTGCTGGAAGAGGGCAGAAAAGCTGAGAAAGGCAAGGAATGCAAGCGCCTCTCCCCAGCCTATGGCCAAAGGAAGCAGAGGTATTTCCCTTGGAAGGATTTCAGTCTCACGCACACTGGGGATGGAGTTCTCCTACTCGGGTAGATGAAGCCCGTGGGGCTGGAGCTGGCAGACGTGGGCTGGAGTCCCAGCGTGGCTGCCCACTAGCTCTGCAGCTCTCGGGAAACCGCTAAGGCCCCAGTTTCCTCTTTTGTGAATGGGGGATGATTCTCATTCCTACGGGGTTGTCATGAGGATAAATTAGGACACTGCATGTGTCTGGTCCAGTGCCTGGCACAGAGTAAAATGCTCAACACTTCTGAGCTGTAGGCATCATTTGATCCTCCTTTGCCACTACAGATCCCTCCAGCCAGCATATGGTTCCTATAATGCTATTTTCACGATGTTTAAATTTGAAGTATTGAGGAAACTGCCTTGCATTGTTAAAAGACTTCAATATATTGTTATTACAGGCTAAATGGCTTTGGCTATTTTGATAAATTGACTTCAGGTCTCAGAATATAAGAAAGCCTCACCTCCTGTCATACAATCACAACTTGGGGTCTAACAGATGCCCAGCTAGTCAGTGGGGGTGCATACCCCCAGAAGGATGGACCCTCAGACAGTGCTCTGTGGTCAGGATGACTGTCCACATTCTTTCATTGCTTAATCATTCTCTCATTCAAGAAGTATTTATTGAGTAGCTACTACGTGCCAGGTCCTGTGTGAGTAGTTAATGACATAAAACCCATGTCTCATGGAGCTTACATTCCACTGGGAAGAGAGACAACAAGCAAATACACAAAAGTGTAACTCTAAATGTAATGATATATTTCAATGCTCAATGGAGATAAATGCATTAAGAAAGATAAAGCCAGGTCAAGGATACAAGGGAGGGGATGCCTTTCTTGGTAAGGTTCTGGGAAACAACCTCCGAGTAAGCCATCAGCAAAGTGAGGGAGAGAGCCAATTGTATGGAGGGAGGAAAGGCCTTCTAGGCAGCATGAACTGCAAGTGCAAAGGCCCTGAGGCAGAAGCTTGCTTGATGGGGTCCCCAAACAGCAAGAAGGCCAGTGTGGCCGGAGCAGAGTTACCGAGGGGAAAAGGTGATCGAGGGAGACAGGTGCCCGATCACGCACCTTACTGATCATGTAAAGAGAGAGGACTTTCATCTCAGCTGCATGAGAAGCTGCTTAAGAATTCTGAGCACTGACTGACATGCTCTGACTATGCCTGAGCAGGATCACTGCTGCTGTGTACAAAACAGACCGATGGGTGGGAGACACTGATGGAAACCGGGAGGCCAGTTAGGAGGCCGCCGCAATAATCCAAGCAAAAGGTGATGGTGGCTGGAGGAGGATCACAGAGTGGGAGACGGAAGGTGCATTTGGATTGGGGGTATATTTTGAACACAGAGTTGACAAATTTTGCTGATAGATAAGAGATGGGGTGTAAAAGAAAAGAGCACTTCTTGGTGACCCCAAGACTTTTGACCTGAGCTCCCTCATGAGTGGGGGACTTTTGGGGTCAAAGTTTTTTGCCTGGACAGTTGGGGGGTGGAAATCAAGCACTTGGTCTCCTTTATAATTTTGAGATTCCAGTAGAAATGTCAAAAATGGGGAGTCCCTGGGATGGGGTGACGGGACCTGGAGCAGAAGATGGACTGATGACAGAGCCCTCCGAGGAGGGTCCAAGACAGCTGCCAATATCCACAGGACAGAGATGGTGGGTAGGACATGAGAAAGGGGGAGGGCAGAGGGGATGGAGCCGGGAAATCGAGAGATGGGGGTGCTAGACTGCTGGGTAAGATGGCATGAAATCAGGCACCTGTGGGTGTTTCTCTTTGACCCGGGTGTTTGGACCCAGACCAGATAACATAGGAAGCAAGTTAGTGACAGCATCTCCAGGGGCCATTTCTCTTTAAAAACCATCCATTTCGCATCCACACCAGAAGGCTGCTGCCTTGCCAGGGCCTCCCCGGAGGCTGTGATGGGAGACAGAGAAACAGCCTCTGGCAGCTCCACAGCCTGCTCTCCCAATACTCCCTCCCCTGCAGGAGAACAATGAAATCTTTAAGTGAGATAGCAGAGAGGAGAGGCTAGAAGAGGGGTTAACCAAGGGGCACCATACAGCAGGAGCATGATTTCCCTGCTAATCAGCAGCTTAGGGGGCTGGCAGATCACAGCCTCCCTAAGTGTCTCGGTGTTTTTCAAATGGAGCTGTCACTGCCCATTAGCTTCGGGAGCGCTCCCTAAATGGAGATGTCAGCCCTGGAGAGCCAGCGTCCCCATCAGCCCGGCGCCTCCGTGTCCTTGCAGATGGGGCTGGTGGCTGGGACCTGACTGCAGATCCAGCGGCCACACCTGCTTGCCTGGCCGACCAGGGAAGATTCTTCAGCCTCACTTAGCTACTAAAAGAAAACTCAACCCCCCCTCATCATACGGAGATACTACCCGGGCCCCCAGAACAGGATCGGGGCCCAAATCAACTAGCTAATTTAAATCCCAAGGCATTTCTTCAGAGCCGGGGAGGGGAGAAAGAATTTTGACTTGTTCGATTGTGTCCTGAATTTAAGAAGCCACACAGTTTGAAAAGCTTATCTGTGAGCTCTTTTCCTCCTCATTCTCTTCTGAATTTCGGTTTCATTGTGTTAATAACAGCTCAGAGTCTAGCTGTCGAATGTGGTGTTGGCTCAGATGCAAAAGCTACAGGGATCGTTCAAAGACACCAACCGGGATATGTCACTTCCCCGTTCCTCTCAGCCATGGCTCCCCACTGCCCAGAGCCCACACGCCTTGGTAGGTCTTACAGGCTATTTAGAACTTGGCCTTCACCATGTGATCAGCAGCCCCCTCACCGCCCACCTTCCCAACACCCCTTGCAGTTGTACTGAACTCCTTCCCGTTCCTACAACACTCCTGCATTTCACCTCCAAGCCTTTGCCCAGGTGGTCTGCTCCACGGGGAACCCCTCCCGCCTTCACCTGGCCTTCTCCTACGCATCCTTTCTTCCCCCAGACAGGTGTCACTTCCTCCACCCAGGACATCTTTTCCCAGCCCGTCCTCCACCCCTGCACTCCTGGGTCT